GCGGGGGGGGGGGAAGTGAGTGAGCAGCTGCGTGGTGCTCAGTTGCTGGCTGGGGTTAAACCATGACAGTACCTATCACTAAAGACACAAAGAACAATTCTGCAATCTTTAGATGGTCATTTGACCTCTGTAGGACATGAAAGATGATGGACTTAAACAATTCTAAATCAAAACTTGAAGACTTATGTTTGGGAAGCAATCCTTCCACATGCGAAATGGTGACACCTTGCTTCTCCAGCAGTCTCTAGATAAAATAACTTCATAATTCTTGTGAACTGTTCTGAACCTTAAGGAACTTACATATACTAAAATGTATTAAACTCCATTTGATTTTTCGTAAATATCATTGTTGTGACTGACTGGGGAAATAATGGTGCTCACAACTACACAAAACATTTTTTCAGTATATGGAAATATACGTATTTCCATACACAGAAAGCTCATAAACATGGACTTCTATGTGTAACTTCCTGAAAATTAGAGATCACTGCTCACAAATTCACTTCCAACTTCAAGCTTTAGCTAAATATTCAAGAAAGATGTTTAGCATGTTTCCACTACCCTGAATATTTATAAAAAATCTCAAGTTTAGAACATTTATGAAAATTTCAGTCTCTTTCAAAAGGGAATATAAACTCTGAACTAAATGTTAAAATAGTTAAAAATGAAAAATTTCAATGTTGCTATGCATATTTCTATATAGTTTTTATTTAGTCCTTACTGAATGCAACACACTACATAACACAGTCTTATTGACTACATTGCCAAAGAAGAGTATGACTTTTTAAGAACTTATCTTCAGAAGTACCCAAACTTATGAACAGCTCTTGTCACCAATGCATCTGAACAACTGCAACTACTCTCTTTGAACATGATTTGCATTTCAAAACTTAGGTGTCTTAAGCAGAGGCAGGCTTGAAACAACCAGTTTCCAAAAAGGTAAAATTTCTCTTTTTTATCTGCATACAAAAAGAAGAATTGTGCCAGTCTCCATGCCAGTTAGATGCAGCCTGACATGGACTCCTGACACAGGTCCACAAACAGATCACAATAGGTTTGGCAGAACTTTTCTATTAGTTCTTTGCTGTTTCAGCAGAATCAGTAACATCAAGTTATTTAAACAGGAAACCAAGGTCTGTTTTATTGCTACGTTAGGTACCACTTCTTTGGATATTCTCCTAATCACTACCTCAGGTGCTTCAGCTGCACATTACAGAAATGCAAGATTATTTATAACAAATGAGGAACCATGCAGTTCAGTAATGTCTGTGATACAGTTGAACACTGCATCTGAAAAGAAGCATTTAATTACAGAACATATGCTAGCATTAGCACTTCTACCAAATTGTACATTTATGCTTGCTGTATTCACCTTCATAGCTTTCATAAAGCCAAAAATATTTCCTGAATTCTTTAAAAATACATTGATATTTTAATCTAATAATAAAATATCATAAAGATAAGCAACTAGACAGGTACAAAATGTTTTTAAAAGGTGAGACATTTAAATTGGTCAAATAAAAAAATTATACGGTGTCTTGATATTTAAGGAGAACATTTAATGTTTTCCAACACTTCCCACTTCGGACAATTAGCCCAAGGTTAACTCTATCTAGAGTGTTTCCTCAAAACTCCTCAATCATCTATTAATAGCTTCTAAAAATATACTTTTTCTATAGCATTCTCATGAAAATCATACACATGGAGTAATTCAACCCATCTCTTTTACTTCCCAGAATTTCTCCTTTTCTGTATATCTGGTATCTAGGACTCAACCTGAAAAAATAAATGCATGTGCCTGACTGATTCATGTATGGATTCACGTATGCTAAGGTAAATAACGCACAGGTAGTTTACTGGATTAGGACCCAGTACTGAAAGGTTTCAGTGTCATGGAATGTCCTTCAGTGACATCATTCATATCAAGGATACTTTTTCATGGTAATGCCACAATGAGGAAATGAGGTCCATTCCAGTTGCTCATTACTATTGACAAAACCATTAACTAATTTATGACAGCACTAGAAGTGGCAGTAAGTAGGGCAGAAAAAAAGGTGGAGGAATCTCCCATTAGATGTGAATTCGCAAGGCTGTCTGCTAGGAAAATTACCTCTTTAATTTTAACCCAAATGTGTTTAAAACCTTTTCTTAAACAATAAAGAGATGGGATCCCAGGATATGTTAACAAACAAGGATTCTTAACAATGATCATGAGAAAGCATTTAATTTAAAATACACTGGTAGTCATGCTGACTCAACGCTGCTATATACTCCTAAGAGTTAGGCAAAACTGCTTGAACACCTTGATAAGCTGGCAAAAAGTTTCTCCTTCACAGTAATGAAAGATGTTTTATACACATTATCCCCTCCACAAAGCAGTTATTATGGTGTCTAAAATAAGTTTTTATTTTAAATCTTTTTATAATACTTAGTATTAGTAAGACTACTTCAAACAAAAGCATAATTTTGTTAAAATTGCAACATTACCTTCTTAGTTTGAAACCCTGGTGCTGTATTGTGCTAGTAAACAATTGAAAAACTTTGAAACAGAACTGCTGTTTGTTCATGATAAATAAATTATAACTGTTCTCATTATAAACATTATAATCAACACTTTTTTTCTATTTTAGTAATTATGTTATTGCTCACTGTTAAAAGTTACCTGCCAATTTTAAGAAGTGATATAGTCTTTGTAAGTGTAACTTCTGAAGAGACAAAAAAGTGTGTATATTTATACATATATGTATATATAGGTGCATAACCACATATACTCACACACATACTCCACTTCTCTATTTTGCCCCCTTTTTAGTACTTCCACATAAAGGCCCCCAAAAGCATGTTACTACAAAAAACATGTTCTAAGGCAAAAGAAAACCTTCCTTCTTGATCATTAATGTATTTTCTGGTATCATATTCCACGTGTTCAGTTCCTCTACTGAAAACAAAAGTGTGCCCTGCTGTGCTAACATCAGGTTTGCATACACCTATCTCAACTTGCCTAAACTCATCCCACAAAGCTTTAACGCATTTTTTTGTGTATTATAATACATCATTGTTTAAAACAAATAAAATGGAATTGCTTATAAAATAGTGCATAGGTTAAATTTCAAAACATTGTACTAATGTTAAATTAGAGGAAACATATTGGAAGTGGCCACACAATGCTTGTACTTCTGTTATTTGCTTCACTGCTCTTTGGGGTTAGAACCATAGATCATAGACTCTGGGAAAGGATTTGACATCTGCCTAAAAAAGCATCACATGCAAAATTTGGAACAATTTAAAGAATTATGCTATGAGAATATAATGTAAAAGTACTTTCCCCATACATTATAAATGGGCTTTATTTTTAGAAAGGGAAGGAAAAATATGACAGCATTTTGTACAATGAGCTTTACCACTATATTTATAGGTTCATCACATACAGAATTTGATTTTTAAAATGTAGCAAGAAAGATTCTAATGACTGTGATATGAAAACTTATTTTCTGAGAGGCATTAGTTTCTGGAATACCCTACAAAAGACTGAAAATAAACCAGCTTGAGCCTATTTTCTACCATCAGACTGCCTGACACATGTGAAGCCATCTTTTCCTGCTTCATTATTGATTCAGAAAATTCCATGTTTGTGTACAACTGCCATGAAATGTCTCTAAAGTAAGAATAATGCTTTGCAGTGCAAGGGAAAAAGAGTCAAAACTAAAAGATGTTAGTGATTTAGACATTTTAAAAAAGCCTTCAAATGCTCAAAACACACAGACAACACACAGAGGAGGAGTCCTATACCAGCTAAGTGTTGCTAACGTTAGTCTGGAAGACTTTAGTAAGGGGCAGATAGACACGGACATGTATGATCACAGGCAATTGCCTTACCTTAGCATGCAGTCAAAATTTAGAATTTTCATAACTGAAGATTCTATATTGAATTAAATTTCCTAAACTCATACCAAAAATAACTCCTTGGGGGGTAAGGAAGGGAGAAGGAAGGGGAAGAGGTAATGAACGTGACTGAGACATTCCTAGACTTGATGCTGCTCCTGGTTTAGAACAGAATTACCTAACTACCAGATGTACAAGTAAAAGGTGTCAGTTTCCTCCCTAACATGGATGCCAGTGGGAAGACTCTTAACTTCTATTAGCATAACTGAAATGAAAGGTAATCATACATCTCTTGTTTGGGAATGAAAAGCAACTATTCAATTAGACCGAATTTCTTTCTCATCTTCCAACTTTGTTCCTATTTTTCAGGTATCAGAAAGAGCTATCAGCCATTAAAATCCAGCTTTGAACATTACAGTAAAACAATTACAGTTGTAGAAGTCGAATGAATTGTAGTTTCTCTCCTGTAAAGAGCTTATCTTGAAGATTTCTGTGCAGCACTGTGTACTTTCACAAACACTAGATAAAATGCCAATTCTTCTTGCAGTTTCAGTTTGCAGTTCATTTGCTATCATGAATGTACTTTACATAACAGATGAATGATACTTTGAAAGTTGATTATGAGAGACTAAACAGTAAAAGACTGCATCTCTAAACATTACAATATTGATAAAAGGCTAGTTGTGAAGCAATTCTATTAAGTATTATGTATACTGATCTTTATGCTGTATGATCAGTTGTATAAGCCAGGAAGAAAAAAGAGCACAAAGTATTAAAGTGAAAATAGCCTGTCATGCATACCTTCTCTTCCCCTAAGTGATAATTCCCTATTCCCAGAACACACTTATTCCAATACACAACAATTATTTACTCCCGCTCAGAATGAGCAAACACAATCACTTAGACAGGCCTGAGGTCTGAAAGTCCATTAGGGTTTCTTGAGCAGAGTTTGTCTGTTCTCCTCCAGGACAGCAACAGGATTCAGACGAAGGATGAAATGAAAACAATGGAAGAGAATGCTCATCATCTTCCAAGTTGCTCAGCATTACACAATTCTACATTCTTGCACCTATGTTTAAAATTAATGTGTGCAAAGCTTTCAGCTAACAGTTACATACCTGCCACTCTGGTCTGTAGTCCATGTAACAGATCTTCCCTCCGGTTTGGTTTTGTACCATATTCTTATTGCATGAGGAAAGTCTGTTGGACTCTGAATTCCTGATTTCTTTATCTCCAAGCTCCAAGTGCCAGTAGTAAACAGAAGCTCTCCACAGCCAGGTGCCTGGCTGCACCGAGTAAAATAGTATAGCTGTTCCTTCCAGCGATCTGCAGGTAAAGTCACAAGTTCATGTATAATCTGATTCCTGAGATTTTCCAGCTCCTTTGAAACATCAGTTAGCTTGGGAGACCTTGTGAATTTTTCAATGCCTGACACAGCGGCAACATCTACCTCCTCAACCTTTAGCACAGATAAATCACAGCAGTCCAATACCAGCAGAAAATCTTTGTTCCCATGATTCTCTATGTCACAGCAGTCCTTTGAACTAGAAATCCCAGAAGCCTGTTCCTCGTTGCTATAGTTACCATTTTTATCAGAAGTATCTTCTTCACCTTTACCACAGACAGCAAAATCATTACATTCCGTTTTAAATGAACAGGCACTCACATTTGTCACAGGAATGTGGCAGGGTTCAGATGCCCTCATTTTACAGGTTTCATCAAACTGTGACTGGCAGTCATCTTTGCCAGTACTGCTGGTTTTCCTGTACCGGCTCCCAGTCTCGAAGAATAAAACTATGACACCTTCAATAACTTTACTTTTAAAATCCACATCCAAGTCCAATATATAGTGCTTTACAAGCATGTAGCTAGTGTTGGCCATTAAGGGCAAGTCATCCTTCATGGGGTCTAGCTGTGTCTCCATGTTCCAGTCTATTGGGCAACAGTTTTACAAAGTCTTAGACTTTTCTTATATATGACGTCTCCATAAAGAGCAAGGATATTCAGCCTCCCAGTGCCAAAAATAATTTTGATTAATATTACGGTATTGAAATTAATTGCAGTTCTTCCACTTCTCACATTCTATTAAAACAAAACAAAACAAAAATAAATCAGATAATTGTTTCACAACCATTTCTGAAATGCACTAAATCTAAAAGTTATTTAAAGTCTAGTTGCCTTTATTAAAAATAGTACAGCCAAAGGGTGATTGTGTTGCCACAGAATGGCATCAAGCTAGTTGCTTCAGGATTTGCTGTCAAGAACCACTGGCTTTATTTTTGAGAGATCTCAAGTGAAAATATTTCTAGACAGCTTTTATAAACTGAAATAAACAAACTTCACTATAGGCCTGTTGACTCTCAGCACTCGCAATAATCCTATAGAAAAGATACATGGTTATGCATCATCTACTTTAATTTATTACTGCACTGTTTGTTTTTAAGGTTGCTGTATTAATTTCAAATGCATTGCCTCAAATGATAGTGATCATTTTTCTACTGTGATTCTAAGTAACAAGAGTAAGCCTAACTCTCCCCATATGTCTTAAAGTTTTAAAGTAGTAATTTCATGTATACAATGCATCTCCATGGACTAATATACTTTCCACATTACAACTGCTCCCATATCAGCACTTCTACTAAATTACAAGAAAATGAGCCAATTGACTATGAGTGCATTCCAAATATTCCTTTGAGATTGCTCATGAAGATTTTTCAAATTTATAGTTAAATACTTAAGGTATATGATTACATCTTAATAGCTGGAAACCCATTAACACTTGGGATAATACCATCTTATAGAAAACAAAAGGTCGTCTCCCTGGAATATATGCAAATACCTATAAATGCAAGAAAATATTAAAATGCATCAGCATTTGTTGCAACAACAGGCAGAAGTTTATCACAGAAGTTTAACTGTCATGCATTCTCTGTTTTGCTATGAGCATTGAGCTAAAGTTATGCACTTTTAGCTCACTTAAGTCCTTTTTGTCTACTTTCTAGACTAGAAATAGAAATCAGAGGAAGAAGCAACTGTTAAGACGTGCAGTTCTCTCCCTTCCAGTTCAGTGACACTTTCAGGATCGGCAGCCAAATCTGTTTTTAAGTGCCTTAAGTGAATGGATACTCCCTTGTGACATTGTTTCACAGTTCTATATCCTCTTCATAGACTTCAGTGTCCGAAATCAGTTTTTGTTGAGCTCTCAAAGTCAGGACAGAGGAGAACCCAGACTCCCCCAAGACTTGCTCTCTCTTTTGTAGGAATCCAGGGCATGCTATCAAGCTAGCACCAGTAAGTGAAAGACTCAGGCCAAACAATTACCTATACCATTCCCTGAACGAGCTTCACATAAAGCACATAGCAAATATCTCCCTTCTTTGATAGCTTTCTACCAGCCAGAAACAGCTTTTACAGGGATGTTTTTGAAGACAAGCTGAGAAAAATCTTTCACTTTTGTATCAATCCTCCTGCACTTTTGCAAACATACCAGGGCACCAAGCTCACTTCAGAAGGCCTTCTTTCACTGAAACATCCCAGTAAATTCAAAATAATTTGAAGATTGCCTGCAAGCGGCAGTCACTGCATCTTTTGAACGGTTTCCAGTAGATACTTCTCTATTCTGTTTGAAAGATTTCCCAAACATTTTCTCTAAATTTATTCATCATCTTGTTCATCATAAGTTTTCTATTTTGAGTGCTTTCAAACTTCACGTATTTGCACGAAAACACTTGGCATCTTGCACTGCCTTAAGTGATGTGTACATCTGTGTACTTTCAGAATTCAACCTTGTATCAGGATCCAAAAACAGATTCATGAGCTCCTGCAGAGTCCCAGTGATTTTGGTATGGTTTCCAAAGATTACTTACCTTTGCAGATATATGTGCAATGTAGATCTGTGTTTTGCCAGCTTGACTGTAAAAAAAAAAAAAAATAGAGGAAGGTGCAGAATTAAATAGCCTGAATGCATATTGGACCCTAATATCATCATAGTGATTGCTTTCTACTTAATTTAAGGAAGTCCAGAAAATAGTACATAAGTGGAACTAAAGTATTGAAGAAGACCTTTAAGAAAGGCTGAGGGAAGATTCAGCAAACCTCAGCTTCGTGAATGAGCAATGTCTATAAACAGCATATGGCCATTACAGTCATGTCCTGGCCTTGAGACCTAACTGGGAATATCACTAGAGCAACCAAACGTTCTAAATGCTGCAACATAAGCAGTGCATCTATGATGTCTGTGCGTAACGCTGTGGACTGGAATTGATGTTATCTGCATTTTCTTCTGTCTACCAAAACCTTATGACTTCTGACAGGTTAGCTAAGTATCGGTGGTAGAGAAAAGAAAGAAAGTGACTTGGTGGGGAAAAAACCCAACACTGAACTGGCATTCAAGAATCCCTGTTTTGCACAAATACTTAGATTTTCTCATTTGAAAACCAGGTATAATATAATATAATATAATATAATATTATATTATATAATACTGATACATTTTATAAAATGAGAGTACTATACTAACAGTAAGTATTTGTGCTATACTATTTACAGGTGTTTATATCGCTGTTTTTCTGTTCTCCATTTGGAAGATGTGATCAATTTCTTACGTCAAAAGTACTAAGATAATTACACTAACTTACATTAAATTCTCAGCTACCATGGTAAGAAGCACCTCTGAACACCTTAAAATAAATCACAGAATCATAGGATGGTTTGTGTTGGAAGAGACCTTAAAGATCATCTAGTTCCAACTTCCCTGCCACAGGGGGGGATCAGGTTGCACAAAGACCAGGTTGCTCAAAGCCCCATCCAACCTGGCCTTGAACACTTCCAGGGATGGGACATCCACAGCCTCTCTGGGCAACCTGTGCCAGTGCCTCACCACCCTCATAGTGAAGAACTTCTTCCTTAGGTCTAATCTAAATCTACCCTCTTTCAGTTTAAAACCATTACCCCTTGTCCTATCACTACAATCCCTATTAAAGAGTCCCTCCCCATCTTTCCTGTAGGGCCCCCTTTAGGTACTGGAAGGCTGCTATAAGGTCTCGCGGAGCCTTCTCTTCAGGCTGAACAACCCCAACTCTCTCAGCCTTTCTTCATAGGAGAGGTGTTCCATCCCTCTGACCATTTTTGTGGCCCTCCTCCGGACCTGGTCTAACACATCCTTCTCCTTCTTGTACTGGGGACACCAGAACTGGATGCAGTACTCCAGGTGGGGTCTCATGAGAGCAGAGCAGAGGGGCAGAATCACCTCCCTCGACCTGCTGGCCACACTTCTTTTGATGCAGCCCAGGATACAGTTGGCTTTCTGGACTGCAAGTGTACATTGCTGGCTCATATTCAGTTCTTCACCCACTAATACCCCCAAGTCCTTCTCCACAGGGCTGCTTTCATAGTAAAAAGTAAAGCTGCAGCTGAATCTCTACAAAACCACATTTATTTTGCATTTAGAGGACTGCCAGATTTGTTTAACATTAATTAACAGGGAAGATTAAAAGGTGACAAATAGTGCCATACAAGGAAACTCAATCCAAATTAAAAAAAAACAATAAATTCAAGCATTATCAAAAAATTAAATTCTATAAATATAAATCCCATTCAAAACTATTAATACAAAAACATTAAATCCATGAGATTCAAGAGACAACTGAAAACAAAGGCCAATGAGGCTAAAAAACATGCAGAGTGGATGTTCATTTTCTACAGTTTAAGGCTTCAGATCAACACTTCTGTTTAGAGGAGATGACACATCTGATCATGTTTACAAACAGAGCAACAGATCAGAGGGACACACTTGTGGGCAAGTAACAAGTATTACTGCATACACTCTGACACTGAATTTTAATTCAGATGTAACACTGTCTGTTTAATCCTATCTCAAATCCCCTTAACTTTAGATATCTCAGCTTTCAAAAATTGTAGGTAGCCTATCTCCAAGCACTAGTAAGTGAATTTAAATGGCTGTTTTTTCAGGTGTCTCAGCTTCTGAACCTCTGAAGAATTTTTTAACGAAATATTTTTAAGGAGTCTACAGAATATTAGAACTGTGCAACAAAGAAGCTGATATGCTATTCTGTTCTGATGGTATTGGGGACTCATTCGAATATCTTTGTATTTTTATGCTGTATTTTGATAATTTCATATTGATACTGAATTAGCAAAAAGCTCTGTCTTCTCTGCAAAGCATGCTCCTGTACAAATAATAATTTTACTTCTTCACTAAAGCCTTACACTGGAAGTTGCATCCTATGAAGTGAGGTGGTGTCTCACATAATTTGAGATAGTCCTATTTAGAGCTCTCCTAAGTGGAAAAGAAACTGAATTTAAGCACTACAGTTTTAAGACAGGGTAATCATGCACACTTTTAATTTAAGTGTTTGTAATAATTTCACCAATTTTAGCTTTTTAAAAGTAGGGGTTACATTACAAAGGTACAGCAAACTCCACTAATCAGCTGTGGAGTTTCTAAATATAAAGACTTCAGATAGTATAATCTGCAACAATAGATGGAAAATTATATTAAAAAGAACACTGAAGAAGTCCAAGGAAATATATGACCATGAACTTCTTTGTCAGTCTTGGGATATACATCCTCAGTGTGAATTTTTGTCTACATGATGTTAATTGAAGTTCTGATACTTCATAGTGTACCTTCTTCTACCTAAACCAAACATAGTGACTAAGAGCTTCACCATTGGTTTTTCAATATCCAACTACACACATACATACACTGAATTCAGAGGAGGAAAAAAATGTACACAAATAAAAAGTCTGATTTTTTTTTTTTTAAATGTCATTTCTATACTATTTGGTCTATGCCTGGAGCCTCCAAAGAGTTACTGCTTACTAAATAACATGCCAAAAATGCACTGTTAACAGAACAGAAATTATAAACAAAATTACTTCCTTTCCCTGTCCTCTAGTGTT